TGATCGATTGATTGATTAATTTTTTGGACCAAATTTATTTGTTAATTGTAAATATTAACGTAATATTATCCCTGTTTGTAGCGGATATGTTCCAATCTGTGTATTGTACCATCAGTTGCAATAGCAGCCGCCTAGTGCTCCTCCCACCATGGCTAAGTGCTTGCTCCATAACAAGCTAGTGCATGCTCCACCATGGCTTGCTCCATAACAAGCTAGTGCATGCTCCACCATGGAGAGGGGGCGGGTCTCACAACTGACTGCTATAAATATGAACAGCAGCAGTTGGAGAAAAGACACACCAAAAACAGAATTGAGAGCTATTGATCTTCTCTTTACCGAAAACTCAACGTTGGCTATAATTTGCATTCCTTCCCTTCAGAATTTCCATTCGACTTCTGAGTTTTCCTCCCTTGTTCTGCATTATTTTAAACTACAAACAAAGCATCTGTAAGTGTGATTTGCTGCCGAACTTTGTATTCGCTGAAACACTGGGGTTTGAAGTACCGCTACACCAGTGTGTAATTCGTTCTATCCTGGGAGGAAATAANCATTATTTTAAACTACAAACAAAGCATCTGTAAGTGTGATTTGCTGCCGAACTTTGTATTCGCTGAAACACTGGGGTTTGAAGTACCGCTACACCAGTGTGTAATTCGTTCTATCCTGGGAGAAAATAATCCATAACCTTGAATACTAGGAGGGGATTAAATTCCTTAAGGAAACACTGTGAATTCAGTGGACTCGAATTAATTTCTGTTTTACTTATATTTACGTTTATAAGCTAACATCCTAATTTCCAGAATCATTATTTACAAATACAGGCATAATAACAACACTAACTTGGTTGCCAAAGAAGTACGATTATCTTTGTAAGGTCCTAGGGAAAGAAAAATTGGTACTACTAAATATAGGCGATACGAATTCAAATTAATTTTGTACTGTTTTCTTATTGCCTTGAGCTTCCAATTACTTGTTCACATGGAACGGTTTGAATGGGTGCTAGTGCTACTAAGCAAAGCCACTAACAATGGATGGGCTATGTTTTTTTCCCACTCTCTATATATATATCTACTACATTATAAGTATGAAGCCCCTAAGTTAAAGTTAAATTACTAAAATGTCCATTAAAAGCTAAATGATCATTTTACCCTTCACTACTCCTATAACAATATTGTTCCAAAAAAGTAGTGTTACCTTCCAATCTTTCTGTGTCTATATTTAGTTGAGATACAATGATGTATCTGATAACTATTTGAAGTTATGGTGCCTTTTGAGTTTCCGCCCAAATTCAAAGAATGTGTTAGCTAGTTCATCATTAAATTGCTCGATGCAATGACCAAGAAACCAAGCAGTTACAAGTTCTTTTGGGTTTACCAAACCGCTGATCATAACCTAGCCTTAAAAACTGGTTAATCTGTAGTTGCAATGCATTCTCAAAACCCTTGTGAGATCCTGATATGGTTATTATCTCAACTTCTCAAGGATTCAAAGATTGTTGATCCCTTGGGAATAATTATTACACTCCAGTTTTCCTTCTCAAATTGATCTACTTTAATACTAATTAAAACATAGAGAGCAGTGGATAATAATTAATGTCTCCACCATGCTGTCATCATCTATTTTCCTTTTAATTTATCTGGAAATCTATATAGAATGGCGAGCTTCAAACTTTAAGCGACTAACATATATTGACAATGAAAAAAGCAAGAAATGAAAAAGGCAAAAGGAGCTATCATTAGCCCAGTGTATTTTATCGCCTGTCTTATGATATTATTTAGTACTAAGTTTTTGTAAATGTGCTTGTTTTGCTTATATAGTATGTTCATGTGCTTTAGCTTTTTCTAGAGCCCTTTTTCATATGATTTAACTTATTTCAATTATCTGTTGCAATAGAAGGAGATTGAAGAGGAAAATGGTGATATCAGCAAAAAGGCTTTGTAGAATTAGCAAAAGGAAGAGCTGAAGAAGTCGGAGCGAGTAACAAATTTATGGTGTTGAGTTCTTTATTGGATGCTTAAGCAAATTTGATTGTGATGTATCTTTTTCTAATTTGATCAAATAAATTTTGTATTTAAACATTAATTAATAATATGCCCTTTTCGCAGTTTAAACAATATTCACCCCCATAATTTGTAATGTACTAAAATTGGAGCCATATAAGTTAATTAGATTTAATTTGTACGTGCAGATTCAAATGCCTAGATAATATTTTTTCCTACTGCAATTGAAAGTTTCTGGTTCTGTATTCCCTAATTTTAGTGATGTAAAGGTTAAACCTCAAGGTCTTTAAAAGTATATCCTTCCCAAATCTATGAAAGAAAATAGTGAATAAGAAGATTTGTTGAAAAAGAGAATTAACTAATATAACTCTTAAGTTACATGATAATTTTATTAACATTAATAATCTGGAACTTATAGTAAAATTTTTTAGAGTTTAAATGAGAAATAAAGAGACGTGATATACAACGCGCAAAGCACGTACCCTAAGACTAGTTACTATAAAAGCAGGACCCCCCTAAACTAAAAGTTAAATTACTTAATTGCCCCTGTTATTAACCTGAAGACCATTAACTACCGTTCCTAAGGTTTTGAACCGTTGCAACCTTATCGCTACTCTCGGCAATGAATCGTTGCTCCCCTCATGACGCCTCTTAACATGCCTTTCCAAACAACGTCTCTTTTGTCCTTTTTCTTACCACTTACCAAGTTTGTGTGCTTAATTGTTACAATTTCTTCCATCTATCTCCAACCAAAATCTACTCGTAGGTTCACTTCTTTTTACCTGCATTCTTATTTATTGCATGTGTATATCAAGTTATGTAATAAAAAGTTTTGTAAAATAAATATTAGTATTATTAAAATAAAGTTTTAAGAAAAATATTCTCACAAAAATCTTCTATCAAAATACTTTTCTACGCACGAAAGTTACGCAAATTAGCAAGATTGGACACTTCAAAATTGAGAATATTCTAATTCTATGAATAATTAGTCAAGAACTCATGTCCAATAAATCAAAAGTACTAAACAGCATCACACATCCAAAAAAATTGTTTAACTTATCAAAGTATAGGAGGGCACAATCATCTTTTGAAATGGATCAATCGAGTTAGATCACTCCTTCTCGATTATAATAAAAATATACAATTGGCTCCATAGGTCAATACTCTTATTTCTATATATTTGTCCAGTAATAACAGACTATTCGCTAGAGGTATTCTTTTAAAAAGAATCGAATGCTAATTAGCGTAGACTTTATTCAGGAATTCAAGTCTTTGAACAAAGACTCATTGTTAATGTATAATTAGGTAAAAACTATCATAATGGCATGTTATTATAACAGTAGTTAAAGAAACAAATGGAATACTAAGAGATACAAAGAAGTAACATAATCAAGAAAAAGATACACATAGATTGAAGAATATATTAGAACTCATATGAGAATGGTTAGTACATGTGACTTGTGTGGTCACACCTTTTTTATCAACTAACAACAACAACAAACCCGATCCCAACAAGTGGGGTCTGGGGAGGGTAGTCTGTACGCAGACATTACCCCTACCTAATACAGGTAAAAAGGTTGTTTCCAATAGACCCCCAGCTCAGGAAGGGTAAGAAGAAGAAGAGGAAAGTAAGGGAGGAAGAAAGATGGAAGATAAAAGAAAAAAGAGCAATAAAGGATAAGTGATACCAAATAATAGCAACAGAGAATACAATATTTGAGGCGAACAAAACCACATAACATAACCTTTTTTATCAACTGTTCCGTAATATTCACCAAAACACCTTTGTCTTTCTTTTTCCTTTCTCACAAGACCTCTCACATAATTATTGCTTGTGTATAGTGTTCAAGTATTTCTTTCCTGACCAAAATACATTCTTCTCTCCTGCCTTGATTCTACGTGCAAAGTAATAGTTGATGATTCGTGTTTCAACTATTCTTGGAATGTATTTTATTTATCTTATTAGAGCCGTATATTTCATGATCCAGTTAATTATTGAATAAAAAAGTAAAAGATATTGGTTAGATGTATTTGTTGTGTTAATCCTTACAAAAATATACATCGACTTTATGCACACACAGTAGATGTGATTAGTATCTTTTTTAATCTGAAAATATTCTATTGAAGATAGAAGTGGTCACGTGTCTATCATGTGAGTGGAGTTAAGTTAGTTAAGAAAGATTAGTTAGTTGTAACTAATTATGGGATTGGTTAGTTTAGAGGCAAGAGGTCAGTAGGTTAGATGCTATAATTGAAGCGTGTATATATACATAGCTTTAGAAGATTGTAATTAGAGCTTCAACATATGATTCATTTTCTTTTCTCAAACAGAAATTCTCTCTAGAACATTCTCCTCCATCTTCCGCCTTTGTTGTCTTCTCTGAAGCTCTCATATTTTCATTATGGTATCAGAGCAGGGACAATAGATCCACGTTCACTGCAGTTGTTATTCATCGGTTTTCTCCGGCAATTTTCTGTCGTAGATCGATTGTGAATTTTTCAATAGATTGAACTAGGGCACAGTTTTTTTTTCTCGCAATTTGCGATTGAAAAACTCTGTTAGTTGTGGAAAATAAAACTCAGTCTACTTGAGGTTGATAGACATGGCAATTGGAGATGAAATTCCAGCTGGAACCAGCACAAACTCAACCGCCAAAACCATCGATCATCATCATCCTCTGTTTCTGCAGCCAAGTGACATACCAGGTAGTTCCTTGATTTCAATTCAGCTAACTGGAAGTGAGAAATATGCAGTATGGAGTAGATCTATGAAAATAGGATTGATAGGAAAGAGCAAATTAGGGTTCGTTGATGGACGGTACACTAAGGATAAGTTTGATCAGTCATTGCATGAACTATGGAAAAAATGTAATGCAATAGTTTTGTCTTGGATCATGAATGTTGTGAGCAAGGAATTGCTTAGTGGTATTGTGTATAAGTCAAGTGCACATAAAGTGTGGACAGATTTGAAGGATAAATATGATAAAGTCGATGGATCTCTCATATTTTTTCCGCATAAGAAAATTACAACTTTGTCGCAAGGAATCTCTACTGTGTCCGCCTATTTCTCACGATTGACAGATTTATGGGAAGAATATGATGCCTTGATGCTATGTCTTGGATGTGACTGTCCAGAATCTAAGAGCTACTCGGAGCATTTCGAATATCAGAGATTGCTACAATTTCTGATGGGCCTGGATGAGACATATGCACAAGCTAGGAGTCAGATTTTAATGATGAACCCAATACCTTCTGTCAACAAGGCCTATTCTATGGTTGTTTCTGAAGAAAGTCATAGAAATATGGGAAAATCTACACAGACATTAGACATGGGAGATAGTACAGCATTATTCACTAACAAAGGAGGCAGAAATACAGGAAACACATATAAGCCTAGAAGAAACAATCTATTTTGTGACTATTGTAACTATAAAGGTCATACAAGAGAAACATGTTACAAACTTCATGGCTATCCAAATAACTTCAAAGCAAGAAGAAAAGCCAATAATTTTCCACAAAGACCAATGGTTAACACCACGAATGAAGGACAACAGTATATGGGAAAGGCAACAGCAAATGCAGTATCTTAGGAAGGGCAGTAGATGCTGAACTCAGCAGCTGGAAATCCAAGACCTGCATTGCCTCAACCAATAATGTTCACTCAGGAATAGTATGATCAAATTCTGAAATTGCTCAAGAAAGACACAGGTGACAATTCACAGCATTTTGCAGGTACGACCAAGGTAACTACATTAGCTGACAAGTCAAAAGGTGAAAACTGGATAGTAGACTCTGGTGCAATCAATCACATGGTTCACACCAGAGAATTACTTGACAAGATTAATACAAATAGCTTAAAGTTTGACTCTAAGGTTCATTTACCTGATGGTACATCACTAAATATTGCTTGTACTGGAGAGAGTAGGATTGGTGAATGTGGTGTTATCAGGAATGTACTACACATTCCAGATTTTAAGTACATTCTGTTGTCAGTCTCTAAACTTACAAGGGACTTACATTGTTTTTTGTCCTTCTATCCTAACTTTTGGATTATGCAGGACCTTCACAATGGGAAAGTGAAGGAGATTGGTAACGAGCTTGAAGGATTGTATAATCTGCAGAATAAGCAGGATAAAGCCAAGGCTGCAACTGTGCAATCACGTGATCATTCCATAGTAGAAGAGGATCTAGGGGTCTGGCATGGGAGACTTGGACATGCCCATGATAAAGTGGTGAAGCAAATCCCAAACATGAAGTTCAAAGTAAACAATGACAGAATAAAAGATTGCACAATATGGCCACTAGCTAGACAAGGAAGATTGCCATTTCCAAAGAGTACAAGCAGATCTAATAAGCCTTTTGAGCTGATTCATGTAGATGTATGGGGTCCATATAGAGTAGCAGTCACAATGGATACAAATTTTTTCTTACTATAGTAGATGATTACACTAGAATGATATGGGTTTACTTGTTGAGACTTAAGAATAATGTGATTGTATACTTGAAACAGTTCTTTGCCTTAATAAAAACTCAGTTTGGAGGAAGAGTCAAAATTTTGAGAAGTGATAATGGGACTGAAAATTTCAATTCTGAATGCAGCATTTTGTTTCAATTATATGGTACGACTCATCAAAGTTCTTGTGTCCATACTCCACAACAGAATGGGGTAGTGGAAAGAAAACATAGACATATACTTGTAAGCACGTGATTTTTGCCCTATATGAGAATTACTCCCAAAAAATCCAAAAATAAA